GTCCCTGCTATGGCCTCTGCAGGCTGTGTAACTTACTCAGAGCATCCTCAAGGCAGGGTGACAACCCCAGTCACCAAGTACGAATGAAAAAAAAAACACCAAACCCAAATAAACAATTTCTCAGATGTACCTTAGGGCTGCTTCACTCCACAAAGCAATAAGAATGATCTTAACCCCCTGTAGTTTCAAGAAGTGACACAGCTACATGACTGGTCTGACTAGAGTGTTTTTCCCATGGCAGAGAAGTACCTTAAATCCCATATTACTGAAAGTTACATACCACCTCTTAACCTGGTAATAAAACTTTCAGGCTATACTGTGCTATTAAGGTTTTTCTCAGGTTAATAAAATGCATTCTACCTGAAAGTATTTTGCACCTTAAAATTACTGGGTCCCACCTTCTCTCAACTCACTTAGATTAGTGTAAACCAAGAGCAGCTCAAAATTAATAGGATTATGCCAAATGTATGTCATATCTAAACCAGACCCACACTAGTCAGGTGTTTCAGAAATTTTAGAGCAATTTCAGGTCACAAACTCATTTTCGGTTAACCATAAGCAAATTAAAATTATTGGGTCCCACCCTCTCTCAACTCACTTAGCGTAAACCAAGAGCAGCTCAAAATTAATAGGATTATGCCAAATGTATGTCATATCTAAACCAGACCCACACTAGTCAGGTGTTTCAGAAATTTTAGAGCAATTTCAGGTCACAAACTCATTTTCGGTTAACCATAAGCAAAGAGTATTAGGGAGCACTTTCAGATTCTAAATTCATGTTGTAGTCAAGTGACTCCCATTAAAACAGAGCAACTAACCCCTCTGCAGCTCTTTCATATTTGTCCCTAACAGCCTATTCAAAACATAAAACTAGGGATGTCTGATTAGAACAAGAAGTACATCCTCATTACAGGGGGCTTAGAGAATGCAAAGCACATTTGTAATATTTTGCAGCATTAGCAGACAAGTTAAAAATCACATTTTCAAAACAAACCGAATCCTCTTGAGCTAATGTAGGTTACTTCCCTGAAGCCAGGGGTCCTTATCTGCATGTTCTTTAATCTCTCCTGGGAGAAGGACACATATCCCTGAACATCATCATAGCACTGATGGGAAAGGGTTTAGCAACTTGATCAGAACAGCAGGTTCCCCTCACAGAGCAGCCCATAGCTTATGGCAGCGGGCTGGGGACACAGAGGCAGAAAAGGGCAGGGTCACGTATCACATCAGTCCCATAGCAGACTAGAGTCCCTGCCCAAGACACCATCTTCTTTTGCCCTACTTTTGTAAAAAAAAAAAACCACCAAACAAATCATAACAAAATAATTTTTAAAAAGCCTCCACAAAAAAAAAAGGAAAAACCAGAGAAATATTCCCACCTTCTTCAGAGCTCTGAACTCAGCAGGCAACTAGACCCAGGAGCTACTGTTTTTCATATTGTCACCCATGTATTTACCCTTCACGGTCTGGCTTTGCAATTTGGGATGTACTGTGTATATTTCCCTTCAACCCTGCTCCCAAGGCATCCCAAGAACCTGCCAAGGGAAGCTGAAAGTCCAACCCCACTGCAGGTGTACATCTGGGTTCTGGCACCGACACCAGACGCTGGAGCCTGCCCAGACGTGAGCAGGTTTGGAGGGGGTATTTCTGGTCCTTCCCAGGTTTTTGGGCTGGGCATGTGTGTCCTGTGGCAGAAAGCAAAATCACACCAGGTCACGAGTGAGAAAGAGGGAGTTCAATATCAGAGAACTGTCACTATGACTTTACATGCATGAGGAGCAGAGTTGCTGTGATGTTTAGTGCCTACATTAAAAAGATGAAGGAAAAAAAAGGAAAATATTTAGCTAACTCCCCTTCTGAACAGTCCTTCACTGCCCACAGTGTCCCATTGCTACCAGTGAATGACCCAGACTGCTATACATTAAACTGCTCCTGAGCAAACATCATTAGAATTCTTTAATTCTGATGTTGTTCTCCCATCTCAGTGAAACTGGAAGATACGGGCCAGTTGGGAGAGGATGATGAAAAAAAAAATTTAAAAGTGAAAAAAAGAAAGAAAAGAAAAAGAAAAGACTGTAGACATTCCCTGAGGACCCGACGATAGCATATTGAAGTTACTGGAAGGACTCCCATTGATTGCAGTGCAGTTTGGGTCAGTCCCCCTGATGCACCGTGGAGGTTCTCCAGTCCTTTGAAGTCAATATTATTTCAGTGAATCTATTAATGTTTCTCTGTGTTAAATGTATTAGAATAATATTGCATTTGAAAGAGAGTCAATTATAATTCAAAACTATACAGCCTGGGAGGAAAAAAAAAGAAGACTGTGGTATGTGTTCAGCAACATATTTGATGCTGTGCAGCCCTTCTATAGAGTGCATTTAACTGTGTTTTGTGTATTATTCTTAACATGCATTCACAGTAGACAGCAAAGCAGCAGTTATGGGGTATGCTGTGAATGCATATTAACAGCAGTACACATTTGCATATCATGGATCCATAATACAAACTGCGTAGTAAAATCCTTATGAAAAGTTATTATGCATGCACAGTAGAGGCTTTTTAAACCTTGATATCTCAGCTATTTTGTTTCCCCACTATTTATTTGAAAATATTAAAAAGGTCAAATTATGGATTAAGAATCTGCAAAAATGTAATGTTACTACTACAGAGGGAATCCTTCAACACACACTAATTCATTTATTTTCTTTTTAGTAGCAGTATTAAAGCCATTCAAAAATGCATTTTGCAATAACATCCGAGTAGTTTAAAAGAGCCACCTACTTCAGCAATAAAAAAAAACATAGAAAATATTTTTATTAAAGGATATTTTGAATGCTGGGTGATATATCTGGAGATCTTGATGGTCCTTCCCTTAGCACAGAGCCACCACAATGTCAACCTTCCCTTCAGTTTCTCACAGTGTTTTCAGTATGCATTGAGACAGGGTTTGGTTCCTCAGGACTTTGCATATTTAGATTATCGTGCATTGTATAATACTCTGAATATGCAAAATCCTTGAAAAGGTTGACAACCCTCAGGACCTTCCACAATATAAATCTTAATACATAAATTCCTATTGAGAATAATAGGATTCTGCTCTCTCCTCTGTTACACAGACTGTAATATTTGGGATAAAATGGAGTGTTATGAATAGCACCGTTCTTGCTCCTTTGAGCAGTTGCCACAAGTTTTAACATCTTTGTCACTTCAAACATATTTGCCTTAGAAAAAAAAAAAATGAAAAAAATATATTTAAAAAGAGGCCTGAGCTCTGTAAAGCATGAATGACCTGATATGTCTCACTTCTGTAAAAAAAAAGTTTGGGGTGAGGGCTTTTTTTTTTTGATGAAAGGCTATAAAATCTTTGAGCACATACACATAGATGGACACAACATGCTCCACACACACTTTCTGCTACTGCCTTATTTTTTGTTCCTCTCTCTAATAATTAAAAAAAATGCCCAAACAGGTTTAAAAGAAACTTGGTAAAAACAAAATAACTGGATGGGGGCTGAGAACGTTAATGCCAAGCTTGGGCCCAACGTGAATTAAAGCAGATGAGTTATAAACCCTTCAAAAACAGGATTTATAATGGAAATGCTGACACAGACCCATAACAATAGCAGCTCTGCTAGGGATTATTTTAATACTAAAAGCATACTCAGTCGCTCACTTTTTTTTAAAATAGAGATTACTTAATCGCTAAAAAGCAGTGATACACGATGATTCTGAAAGCAAACTTAAAACTAAAAAATTCTAAAGGTGCCACATCATTCCCCCTGTAACTCTCTCGATATTGCTTAGATGTGACATGCCACTCCTTAAATAAAAAAAGCCACAAACCCCAAACACACCAAGGTGGAGTTTGCCATAAGCTCCATGGCAAGGCTGAGCCGAGAGGCTTTGTCAGCTCCGTTTAACAGTTTGTTGCCCGTGGAAAGAGACAAAAGGGTTAAGGGAGGAAGGGCAGGGAGCACAGGAGAGGCAGCTGACAGGAGGAACAAGGGCAGGATGAAAGAAGCAGCCAGGGAGGCAAATGGAAGAGCAGGGGGAGATTTTTTAGGAGGAGTGTGTTTCGGAAGGAAATAGTTCAGCTTTTAAAGAGATTTTGGGGAAACGTTCGCAAATAAGGCCAGGCAGGCAAAGAAAATTGGGCAAACCCTTCCAGCACCCCAAGTTACACCTGGGAGTGTGTTGCCCTGCCAGGAGCAGGTGCTGCCCGGCCGCATGGCATCGGGGCGGGATGGGGACCACGGAGCCCCAGGACAGAGCTCTGAAAAACCCCATCGCTTCTGAAACCTTCGCAGTGTACATCCAGTTTCCCACCAACGCCTCTTTTCTTTCAGGAATGTCAAAGCCCACGGAGGGATGCCAGGGGAGGATTTCTTGCAGCCGGCAGGAGCTTTCCTCCCGTTAGCCCGCGCTCGGGGGCAACACCTTGCCCTCCCCAAAACCCCACAGCCCAAAATCTCCTCCTGGCAGCTTCAGGCAAAAATTACTTGTGTTGTATCACTGAGATTATTTCCCCATTCTTGTCATCCTTGCCTTTTATTCTTTTTTGTGGGTATCAGGTGCACCGAAGGGACTCGGAGCAATACGAGCCAGCACTTTTCCTATAAACAATACCGGATTAACCACCACTGGGCAGCCGTACCTGTAGGCAGGGAGAGCACCAAATGTTGGCACGTCTACCCGTGCAGCCAGACTGCTAAAAAAGAAGCAGCTCCAGTGGAAAGGCACCTACTGTATGTGAAATGCTGGTGCAGATTTTTTTTTTCCCCCCCTCTTCTTTTTTTTTTTTTTTTTTTTTCTATCAGACTAACCTTCTGTGTTGATACATGAATGCTGGTACCCACTTAGAGGGATGCCAGATGATCAGTGCAGAATGAAGGTCCCAGGAGAAAGGCTCACGTGGTTTTCTCTGCCCCGTGACGTCACTAGCAGATGGCATGGGTACCAGCTCTGGCAGTTGGCATCAATGTCACTTTTTAGAGATCAATGAGATAGTGCAGATATACACAGATCTAGGCTCCAGGAGACGATGCGACACTCAGACTGAAAAGATTTGGAAGGCAAAAAATGAAAACTGATTGTTGAATGAAATAAAAAGCTAAGGTAATATAAATAAAGATATTTTTCAGTTGGTGCTGGGTGTGCATGCAAGTGTTTAAAGATACAGTATCATTGTCTTGTATTTTCTGTATGCTATTTACTGTCTAATAACTCCTCCTAACATTTTGTTCTTCTGATGCAATTGCATACTTTCCTTGGTGTTATGTAATATTGCAAGTGTGTAGACAATACTGATAGACTTAGTCTTTGACTGGGGTTTTTGTTTAGTTTTGTTCTATTAAAAAAAGTCCCTGCATTCGTTTTGCTTGTCTCTTCGAGGACCGTGGGATCCAAGCTTTTGCTGTTCCCAAACTGCAAACAAAAGCAAAATAATCGGGGGAAAAAATAAATTATTTTCCCCTTCCAGGCTGGATTCTGAGCACACGTGCAGGATTGCAGTGAGAATCTACAGAATGCTCCTGTCAGCTACGAGCTGGAGGGAGACATCTGAGCCTCGCAGAACATAAACACTGCTATAGCGTGCAGGGGATTTTTTGCCTCTCCCCCCCCCCCCAATTGATGGGGGATAAAAAAAAAAAAAAACAACAAATAAGTTGATTTTAATTAAACAGATAACATCAATTAGAATTTTTGCTGGGAAAAAGGAAAAAAAAAAAAAAGGTAGGGGGATTTTATTTCCTAACTCTGATCTGGATACATTTAGGGTTAGTTTATTCTGATTTTTGTTTTAATGTGAAATAAGTGCTGAGTGATTTGCATACAAATATTAGAAAAAAAATTTCTTATTTTTTAATTATGTTACAAGCTGAGTTATTTGGTGGGGATGTTCCTGGTTTTTTTTTTTTAACTCACCCACTCTAACTTACCAGAGTTTAATGTCTTGATTCATAAGGGAAGAAATGCAAAGGGGGAGGAAAAAAGCCCAACTTCAAAATCTAAGTCAAAAAGTGATATTAAAATATTTAACTATCAGTTAATAGAGATATGGCACTTTTCAATTTTAAGACTGCTCTCGCTCTCATTTTTTTCACCCAGGGGAATTTGGATTAATGAAATTTCTGTATTGCTTTATCACGTTTTGCATTTCTTTGAATTCCACGGTGGCGAGGGTTCGAAGGGCTTGTTTAAAAATGAGATAAATGAGCAGGGAGCTAATTGTACATTTTAAACGTGGTTTAACACGTTTAACACGTTAAAAATGTGGCTTTTTTAGTTGCAAGATCCTGAATGTTTTAAGTGATTTTAAAATTCTGGACAGCTGGGCTTTTTTAAAAAAAAACAAGCATTAGCAAACAGCATTTTGTGCAAAAAAAAATTGAAATTGTGCATTTCTATCTACACACACAGCCTCATGCCCACAGAGCGTGCACGCAGAGGCACGAGAGGTGCGTGAGGATGTGTATGTAAATCGGCCAACTTCAAAAATGGAAATATTTAAATATTGTGCTGGCATTCTTTCAGGTAACTTAAGATTATAGAACCATGCTAACACTACCGTTTGATGAGTCTGTTGTAATGCCAGAATCCCAGATGTGCAGAAAGTTTTCCAGAGAAAGTGATGACCAAAAGCAAATGAAGAACCCAGAAAGCTTTTCGAAGCAGATCGTGCTCCGAGGAAAGAATATTAAAAGATCTCCTGGAGAAGACACAGAAAAAGAGGAGGAGGAGGAAGAGAGAGAAGAGGAGGATGAGAATGGCTTGCCTAGGCGAAGGGGCCTCCGGAAAAAAAAGACGAGCAAGATAAGGATGGAAAGGATCAAATTCAGGCGACAAGAAGCCAACGCCAGGGAAAGGAATCGGATGCACGGCCTTAACGACGCCCTGGACAATTTAAGGAAAGTGGTCCCTTGTTACTCTAAAACACAAAAACTGTCCAAAATCGAAACTTTAAGACTAGCCAAGAACTACATTTGGGCTCTTTCGGAAATCCTGCGGATTGGCAAGAGACCCGACCTGCTCACCTTCGTCCAAAACTTGTGCAAGGGTCTGTCCCAGCCAACGACAAACTTGGTGGCGGGATGCCTGCAGCTGAATGCCAGAAGTTTCCTGATGGGCCAGGCAGGAGAAGGCGCCCATCACACCCGCTCGCCCTACTCCACCTTCTACCCCCCCTACCACAGCCCCGAGCTCGGCACCCCCCCGGGACACGGGACACTCGACAACTCCAAGTCCATGAAACCTTACAACTACTGCAGCGCTTACGAGTCCTTCTATGAAAGCACTTCCCCCGAGTGTGCCAGCCCACAGTTTGAAGGTCCCTTAAGTCCTCCCCCAATTAACTATAATGGGATATTTTCCCTGAAGCAAGAAGAAAGCTTGGACTATGGCAAAAATTACAATTACGGCATGCATTACTGTGCAGTGCCACCCAGGGGTCCCCTTGGGCAGAGCTCTATGTTCAGGTTGCCTACAGAGAGCCACTTCCCTTACGACTTACATCTGCGCAGCCAGTCTCTCACCATGCAAGATGAATTAAATGCAGTTTTTCATAATTAATGAGGAAAATGAAAATAAACAGTGGTCATTCACCTCCCCGTCTAATTAAGAGCAAGCAGATGCTTGGGCACTGCGTAATTGGCACAACTCTATTTAACGTGGTTACTAGTTCCTAAAGTGTGTTTCAACTATTGTGGGGATTTTCTATGTATTAATAAACCCTTTTTCCCATAAGTATTTTTCCTTTTGGTTTTTTTTTTTTTTTGGTCTGTAAACACTGTGAGATTTTGTTTCCTCCGAGAGGTTGTTTCCACCTCCTTTTTCTTTCTTTTTTTTTCTTTTTCTCCTTTTTATTTCCCCATTTGCTTGATTTGTTGAGCAGTGTGTCTGAACAATATCGCTGAAATAAAAGCATACACACTGTGTAAAGTCAATGTCTATTTTGATTGTACAGTAATTATACAAATGCATGTTATGGAAATCAGATTAATAAAAATGATGTTATTTATAATTGGTAGAAAATATATATTATGTATTTGAGGAGAACTGGATTAAAAATATTCAGAACTTTAAAGAAATTATCTCAGAACTGAGATGGGCTTGCAATATGCAGAGGTGAGAGTGCAGCAATATTGAAAGCTATGCAAAAACAAAAAAAGCAAACAAAAAAAAAAACCACAACAGTTTTTTTGGGTGATGGTTTTTGGGTAAGCTAAGGAAAAAACAGTGATTGTCACTGACATTATTCAGCCTGACCTTTAGAGTGTTGCTGGCAGGGGCCACATGCTAATAATATTTTAGAAGATGTTGTCGAAATTTTGCCTCAGTTATTTTGACCATATATAATCAGCACTTTTTTTTGTATTATTCTGACTTCAGATGTAAAGGTTTGTTATAACAATGTATAACTGTGGTTTCTCACTACGTACTTTAAATGCAATTAAACATAGATGTTTCCACTTTTAAAATACATCTATTAGCTGTGATACTGTATTTTGCCTGATACTTATTTCACAGTATACAGCTGCCTTGGGTCTTGCCTACACAGCTTTGTCCCCAGCAGTGCTTGAGCCTGGGGATGGAAATCATGAATTATCAGGGTGAAACTTGGCTATTTTCAGAAGGATATGAGAGAGGTGCAGCAAAACCAGACCCAAAATATCACAGAAACAGCTGGGTGATAAATGAAACACAGGTTAGGGGAAGAAGGTAACTTCAGAGCTCAACAAAATGCTGATGTTCATAGGGGAAAGGGCCCTGAGCGGACACGCAGGGCATGAGCTGCTCCTCCAGCTCTGGCTCATGGAGGGGTACAGGAGCATGGGAAGCATAAAAACTGCAGAAAGAAGGACTCCCTGAACTTCATTAAACTTAATCTTGGCTAATAAACATCACCAGTAAACTACAGGTGCCTCTGCAATGCACATCAACAGCTAGAGAGGTCTGCACGGCCCCTTGTGCCTTAATGCTCTGAAGTGGAGCTCGGCTGAGCCTCAGCCCTTTCTCACCCATCAGAGCTGTTTCTCCATAAGCTACACGAGAGACAAAAATGAGCAGGTGGGTTAAAAGGCAACAGCATTTAAACCTGTGAGTGAGCAAGTCCTCTTGATTTTGAGGGATAAATAGCAGCTACCTGACAAGCATTCACCTGAAGTCCCAAAATGCTATGCTCTGAGCTATCAAAAAAAAATGATTTTATTTTTAAAAGATTTTTTTTCTAGAGTTCTACCTGCAATTTAGAGACTCCTGATGGAATCACAGGCCAGGTCATAGTTTGTTAGTGACACATCAACCTCGGATCCTCACTGGAACGTGGAGCTTGACAAGGAGGGGATAGGCTGATTTTTCCTGGTAATTTGCCTAATTTCAAAGCAGGACTTGTTGTAATCAGTCTGCCCTGACAGGCTTCACAGCTCCTTCAGGACAGCAGCCTGAGAGTCATCTTTTCTAAATAAGACCAGGCCACCCCAGCTGCTGGGAAAGGGTAACAAGTCCCAAAGTTTGGATCAGGGTTGAAATGCTTCTAAGCTTGCAGAAGGAGGGCAATGGACACAGGGTTCTGCTCGACCAACATCCTCTCCAGACACAAATCTCAGGCTGAAAATAGAGCCTTTTGAAGCAGCCTTGAGCTCCATTCAAGGGGTTTGGGTCAGGATTATCCCACCTTTCAACAGGGTCAGGAGCTGTTGAAGGTACAGGCAGCGGTTTTCTGCCTTGGGTGAAAGGGGATGGTGATGACTGTCAGCTCAAAATCCCCCCCAGGTGCTTTGCACTGAATCTAGGAAGGGGTCAGGGATAGAGAAGAGAGAAAAAATAGATTGCTTTTGCTGTTATTCAGTATCAGCTGATATTCAGCAAAGCCAAGAAAGGTGACAGGAGAGAGCAGAAGGATGAAGAGGCCAGTCAAGGAGAAGCAAGCACACACTCCTGGGCACAGATTTGCACGAAGGGACACTGAGGTACACCAAATATCACCAGGAACTATAAGCAAGTGGGACCAGAATCAGGAGATCTTTTGAAGGGGAGGGATGGAGGGAGAGGCAGATGCCCTCCCACTGAGCAGTGGCAGCAAACTTATCTAACCAAGTTGTGTGAGAGGGGCCACTTCCAGGAGGCTGAGAGTTAGCTGGGTGCCCAAGAGAGGGGTTGCTGCACCAGGGTGCCTTTGCACAAGTTCTCAGAGCGAGGAGGCAGCTGGAGAGTCCAGCACCAAGGGAAGGAACTGCCTGCTGCAATACGTTGAGCAGGCACCCGAGGGGTGTTTAAGACTTCAGGCTCTGCAGTCTGGGGGTCTCCAGCTCTGTGGCCCTATATTAACTCAATAACTCATGGGCCAGTTCCAGTTTCCCCTTCTGGCAGCAGAAGCAAAGAGAAAGAGGGAAAAAAAAAAAAATATCCCTGCCAGTTCAGATCTTTCTTGCTCACTCCATGACAGATGGGGAGGCAATTCGCAGCCAGATTCCCCCTCTGGTAGCTCAAGGCAGGCACCACACTTGCTCAGGGCATTGCAAATTGGAAAGTCAGTCCAGAATAAATAATGGAGCAAGTCATAGAAAAATATTGAGACAGCCTAAAAACCCCTGACATTCCCTGTCTAGGAGTGTATGGATTATTTAGAGACGTGGAGGTAGGGGAATCCCTGGAGAGCAGGCTCTCTCACATACCTTCTTTCACGCACATGACAAACATTTCCATGCTTCTTCAGTGGCCAGCCACAGAATATGAGGTGCTCTGGTACAATTTATAAAAGCCTTTGGAATAACCTTATTTTAGGGAACAAATCCAAGCATCGAGAAAAGTTCTGGTGCTTTAAACTCACAAGAATAAAAGCCAGTGGGTTTCTTTGCTTGTAATCTCCACTTTATAAGGTTTTTCTCCTTTCAGCCCCACTCATACAGCAAAACAAAGCTGCTCATTTCTGCCTGCCTTTTTCTCCTCTTAACTGCCTTCACTTCCTATAGGAGAGAAATACATAAACCAGCAAGCACTCCAGAAAAATTAGGTGAGAAGTTTCTATTCTCCCCTGTCCTCTAACACAAGAGTAATGAAGCCTTCTGTCAATTTTAGAGGTGGGAACCCCAAAGCTGGCAGAATAATAGCTACTCCATACGTGGTTTTGTTACACAGTGGAACTCTTTGCCATTTATTATTTCCCAAAGTAACATTTTATTGTGGTTTTTAAAAAGCACTGTATGTTTTTATGGTATTAGAAATATACTAATTATTTAAGAATGGCTGGACTAGTTCACATGAAGCATCCAGCTAATCTAATCTCCTGTTTCCAACACGAGAGCATAAAAAAAGATGTCCAAAGATGTCAGAGAGGGTGAGGAAAATACCTATTTGTTTTACTAATAAAAATGATGGAAAATAAACTAAATCACATGCCCAGATTGATTTCAACCAGTCCTGTCAGAGACAGGGATGTGCCCAAGATGGAAAAAGGGGTGGGAAGGACGACAGCACCTTCCCTCTGCAATGCTGGGCTCACCAGTAACCACCAAGCAGGACAGGCTGGGTCCTAGGCTGGACCTCTGAACTGTGTCAAACAAAATCCAAACCCTCATCAGGAATAATATTTAACACCAGTGGCCCCAACCCCCCAGTCCTACAAATCCCAGTGCAACTGAAAAGGGGGAGGGAAGGGTAACCACTGCTCTGCTGGAGTTCAAGGGAGATCTCAGGGCTCCTTTGCATTACAGTAGGACCACGCTTGTTTTAGGACACGTCCTGGCTGAGCTCCCTTTGGGACCATCTGCATCCTTTCACTTCATAGCTATCTGCACAAAGATTTTTCAAATATATGGAGATTCTGCAGGCACAAACACGATGGCAGGTTTCTTTTTTCTTATACTAGCAATTCCCTCTCCTATTTTTACCCCTACTTTCCTCTTCTCTTCTCCCCTTTGCCTGTAGGGCTCTCAAATGGCAGCAAATTAAGTGAAATGCCATCAATAAAGATGAATGAAATCCCAGTGAAACACATGGCAGAATCTTTCCTTGCAAAACCAAATAATACTTGCCTAAATTAAAAAGTAGCAGCATGGTTTTGTTTTTCAGGTTGTGAATCTAGCTTAACTCAAGGCTATGGATATATTTTGTGGTCGGTACCCAAAATAAAGGGGGTTTAATCAAGTTTAATCCTGCTATCAATATCTTACAGATTTTGATACACAAGTAGTGGCACTGCTGCGGGCTAAATTGCCATGAGAGCAGCTCCCCTTATAAAATTCAATCTCTAAATTAAAGGCCAACCCAAACAAATAAAATAATAATAAAAAAAAAAGAAGTAAACAAAACCCCAACCCTCCATAATCTGGCTCCGGGTCTGACCCAGAGCTGAACCATGGCAGCAGGTTGTGATTTTGCTCTGGAGAGACACAGATCAGCGTGGTGAGCAGCTGGCACCGTGCCAGGGCAGAATCTCAAGGGCAGCCCTGTCGTGTCTCACTGATACAAATCTAACGACCGTACACGGGGCTGCCAGGCACAGTGGCACCCCCAAACCCCCCTCTGCTGCACTACCACACCCCGGCCAGTCGCCTGGCAAAATTCTTGCACCTTATGCCAGGAGGATGGCCTATTTTTTTTGCAGACCCTTCCCCCTCGCCCTGGAGGTGTAAGAATGAGGTAGGAAAAGGGGGGAAAAAAAAAAAACAAATTCATGAGCAAGAGAGCTCTGATTTAAAAAAAAAATATAAAAGTTTGGTTTTTTTCTTAATGCCTGCAATGTGGAGCCCCTGGGACGTGGGCTTTGAATTGGCATCACCCATAAAGGTTGTTATAGAATTACAAAGAGGTTTCCTGCCTGTTTTCCCCCAAAATATGTTTTTTTCTTGGCAATTTTCCTTTGTCACTAGCTCTAGAGACCTCCACATTTACCCCTTTAACAGCACTGCTTGCACTGTCTAATTCTAGGACAGCATGTATTTAGAGCACACCATACAGAAACAAGCCAGATCTAGGTGTAGCTGAAATTCTGGACTACTTCAAGAGGTTTTAAAAATTAGAACAGAAAAGCAACCTTTATTATTTATCACATCTCTAGGATTTTCAGCATATTCACGTCCCCAGCCTAATGAACATTGTGCTTTCTGATATTTTGGGGTTGGGGTTTTTTTGCATTTCTGTAGAGCATTACTCAGTAGGT